GTTTAAAAGTTAAGATTTTCACATGATTTAAAAAGTATAATATTTGAAACAAGCTTTAGATTTCTTTTTGTATATGAGATATTTTACGAAAAATATATTGATGCCTCTTACTACAGAGATCGATAGCGAGTTCTTCTGAAAAACTTCACTTAATAGTTTGTTCATGGATGAGGAATGTTTATACATGTTTATACTTCACTTAATAGTTTGTTCATGGATGAGGAATGTTTATACATGTTTATACTTCACTTAATAGTTTGTTCATGGATGAGGAATGTTTATACATGTTTATACTTCACTTAATAGTTTGTTCATGGAAGAGGAATTTTTATACATGATTTTATTCAAGATAAAGAATATTTTACATACTTACACATTTGTATATCCATATATTGGGGAATTATAAACTTATATAATAAATACATTCATGATAAATGTGATAAGCAAAACAAAATAGTTAAATTGAATAATGCTTTGATGCCAAAAACAATAACAAATATTTTAAAGGAAAATAAAGAATACAATCAAATTTATTATATTTTTTTAAAGAAAAAATTTGAAAATTTAGAACCAAAATCTTTAGAAAGTTTTTTTATAAAACAATACGTATTTACAAAATAATGAACAACTATATAACTCATCGTTTATAATCATAGAAAATATGAGACTCGGATGGTTTCAATTATACATTTTAGCCCCCAGTGGTATGTCTGCGGACTTAGACGCTGGAAACCGGGTTTCGATACTGGTGATGGGCTGAGCACAAATAGCCCATTGTGTAGCTTTGTGCTTAACTTCAAACAAACAAGCAATACAAATTTTATAAATAATATTAAACAATTAGTATCCATCAATATAATACTTATTACTTTTTAAAGTTACAGAATAGTTGAACAAGTAGTTTCGCCGTGTAAAGGTAGAAACGTTTTTGAAGTAATTGTTTTGTTAGATTAAAACAATATATATTACTAGATTATCAAGTTACTGTATATCAATCACGAACAATACTGTCTTTGATTATATTATATTGAATGCTAAATCGTATATATTTCATATAGAATTAGACTAAAAAAATAAAAGCCCTTGGTAATACCTTTCATTCAATGGTCATATAGGGTGTACCAATTAGAAAATTATATTGCAATAAAATATCCAAGTAAAGTAAAATTCACAACTAAGTAGAAAAACTAGAATATCATTTTTGCCTCTCTGTCTTCTCTTTGTGCTATTAATTGTCATAATTAATAACATTCATTTTTCATTATCTGAGTATCCTATGTTTCTCCGTTTCTTTAAATAGAATTAATGGTAGGTAGTTGTTCTTATGTTTTCTTTACGTTATTTCGTGTATGTACATTGTTTCTTGCCAAAATAAAAACAAAGCTACAAAATACAAAAATTTAGAAGTAGTAATGTAACATTACAAATACTGATAACTTACATGACGAGAGAAAGATTAGAATTAGTGGTGTTATATGATAATACTGTTCAAGACGAGAGCGAGATTGGAAGTATAGTTTTACATCAGCTAACTTTCAATACGATAATGAGATTAGAAGTACTAGTATAACAAGACGAGAGCGAGGTTAGACGTAGTAGTGTTACATTATAAGTACTGCTAATTTTTCTGACGTAATCGAGATTAGAAATAATAGTATTACATTATAAATACTGCTATTTTAAGACGAGAACGAGATTAGAAGTAGTCGTGTTACATTACAAATATAGTTGTCTTTCAAGACGAGATTAGAAGTAGTAATGTTACATTACAAATACTGCTAACAGCTGCCTAGACGAAACTCAACTTAGAAAGCACATAACTTAAAACGAGACTGAAATTAAAAGCACCAACAGAAAAGTGTTATCTTTATTTATTATTGTTACGACAGCGTAAGTCACGTGACGCTTGTAACACGTAATGAGTATCTCGAACGTTCCTGAAGGCTCGAGTGTTTGCCAGACGCCCTCTATTTTATATATATAAGACCGGCGAGAAGTGACGGCATAGGTAATTGAATAGCAGATTGAAGAGAGATATAGAGACAGATAATTGAGTCAAGTGAGCGGTAGTGGCCGTAAGTAAAGTGCGTGAATCGTTGTGAATTATA